GCCTCCCCCTGGTCCGCGGTCCCTGTATTTTTGCTTGCTTAGGAGAGAATTCGCAACTCGGTTAATTGTGGCTGTGCACAAGATTAATTAAACATAAGAATTCTCCCCTATCGTATTTATCTTTGTTAATTAATTTGTTAACGTAAATCAGGGATGGATTTGCTGGGGGAGGGGAGGTGTGAGGGTATAACGCCCCCCAAGGAAAAGTCAAGAAAGGGATCCCAATTTCCCCCAGCTCGGGGGCCCCTGAATGCTGGGATTGTGGAACTTGTTAAATATTAAGGAATATTCTGAAACATTGAGGTCGAAAAAGGTCTGAAAAAGAAAGTTGTTTTTGAGGTGCCCCCCAATCCCCCTCCTAGATCATGCTGGATCCATCCCTGAGGTAAATTTGAGAAAAATATTGTGTTTTATTTTTATTAAAATGCTTTATTTGCCCCCCCCCCTCCTGCAGGAAAGAAGATATCTTTCACCTACCAGTGGCGTAACTACTATGGGCTCGGACCGGGCGAACCCGGGGGCCCCCAACCCCAAAAGGCCAAATGGGGCCCCCCCCAGGCTCAGGCTGTGAAGCAAAAACATTGGCCAGGGCCTCTGATATGTCACAATGTCGTTTTCTGACCATCAGAATTCTGTAACATCTCTCCCCAAAGTCTGGGAAATGGTATTTCAGAGAGTCTAGATTCAAAAATTTTCTGGGTGAGCATGCCCTAGACCCCTAGAAACTCGTGCATATACGGCGCTCGACTTGTGCCTTTGGCACTTCTACTAGGGGAGCCTTTTTTGAACCGGGGGCCCCCTGATATAACGTTACGCCACTGTCACCTACATTCCGTCGCCCCTGATACCATACTATACATTCTAATTTACACTTTAAAGTTTGAATTTTTCTCGTGTTTTATTTAATAATTGCAGAGAATTTTCATGACTTTCCGATAATTTATTATAGATAAAATTAACAGTCAATAACTGATTGAAAATGCAGACATGCAAGCAGCAATAGTTCGCGCATTGCCTGGGGGCCTGGTGCCTAGTTTACGTTCAGAGCGCGAAGAGGTTCACGGGATAGCGTCGTTTCAAATTTTTTTGTGCTATAAAGTGCTAACTGAATTCCAGTTCATATTTACAATATATTTATCACATTTTTCTATCCCAAACGACGGAAAAGGCATCGGAAAGGTCTTAAAATGTTATTCAGATCTCACAGGTAAGAATATTTTATTTTGATTAATTATTTAAGTACTTTAATTGCGAAAGAATGTGTGATTGTTCTTGAGTCATTTGCCTAAAATTCCGTTGAATGTTTGAATTTACCGCGTTCAATTTGCATAAAAAACCTACGAAATGTTGGTTTCTGGCAATGAAAGAAAGAATAAAATATCAATTCGAATCCATTATAGCAAATTCTGTACTAAATTACGCACTAATGCACTATTATTAACAATTTAATAGCAATAAATATTGCCTTTGGCTGTTCGACATATAAATTATATGGCACTCAACTTGACCCTTGTATATATTACTGTAAACATTCGAATGCCTTCAAAGATATGTTAGTATTTTAATATATGAATAAGGATTAGAATTACAGAAGAATTTATAAAGCTTTGAATGTAATTTGAATATAATATTTTCAGTGTTTTGATCTTAATAACCCATTAAGGCCATTATAAAGCTTGCAAATGTGCCCAAATGCATCCCTGCTGTTGCTTTACTTTGCCTAGTGCCAGACAATTTCACTCGTCAAGGGGCCAGACAGTCTTGCAAGCCCTTAATGAACTTCAGTTTATAATGTGTAACATGTTTGTGACACAATGCCTGAAATGTTTGCCTTATGTATTTTCAGATTAATATTGGTGCTGGGCTATCGCCTGGCTCCAAATATTGTTCTCAACAATCAAGGAATTCTGGATTGAGTTCACAAACTGGTGTTGTAAGGTAAGAATTAACAAGAATAAATAGTCTGCTTTTAGTGCTTTATATGAAGAAAATGACAAACTGGCCCAGCTAAGGTAGTCACCCAGGATCTGTTCATATGAGCCATGCTGGCCCGTTAAACCGAGTTAGCTTGCTTGGCCGGGCCAAGTTGTTATTTGTTTCACATGAGGCGGGCTAGCCTGACAAGTGCTACCGTATAAGAAATTACCAAACAATTTTATATATGGTGGGAAAGCGATATTTGTTTTAATTTTGAAAATGGTATTTTTATTGAAGGAAACTGCTTCAGAAGTTTTAATATTGTTCATTAATGTTATTTTTTTAAATTCTTATATGCTTTCTACTGTAGATAGAATAAAGCATGCGTTGTGACACAATTGTCAATTGCCAGTCTGGTTTGCCGGGCTGGCCGGGAAAGGCGAGATCTTGCCTTGCTCAAACGGGAGCCCATCAAATTAACCAGGCCAGCCCGGTTCTCATGTGAATCAAATCTCAAAAACATATAAAAACAATATACACGTACAAGACCAGATCTCGGCACTTGCAAGTCGGTCCAGCCAGACGAATCAGCCTTGATCTTGTAAACAGCCCATGTAAGGACCTTGTATGTAGGAATTATTACATTTCTTGATACTGCATCAAAAATTTAGTAAATATTAACAACACAATTACATGTGAATCCTAAATCTACCCCCAATGCAGCCCATTGTAAGGCCTGTTGGCACTGTACTCAATTTTGGTATCCGTAACATGTTTACCATGCTTGGACTACCGTACTCCTATTCACGCAGGCTGAGCATGGATAAATTTGGTACAGGTACCAAGTTTATCTGTGCCATACTAGGCGTAAAAAAATACCTGTGGTTCCGGTTCCCGATCGACCCTATTTTTTTCTGCCCACCCTATTATTTTTTCAAAGTAATTGACTGTGTGACCCTATTTTCTCCAGATGGTTGTGGGCTGCTGCCAAATGACATCTGTTGTCACACTAATTATTGAAAAATCCATGAAAAAATATTTAAAAAAAAAGTATTTCCAACCTACCAACCCTAATTTTTTTGCGATATGAAACCGGAACCACAGGTATTCTTTTACGCTCTACTAGATTAATCTTGCTATCTCAATGCCAAACAATTGTACATGCCCAGGGTCCTGATGTATTAACCCAATTAGTGGCAGCACTCTTCCCCTGAGTCCCTGATTAGTTAAATCGTCTGGCATTAGACAGAGTAAATAATAAAGTAGGGCGCATCTTGGTGCATTGGCACTTAAAGGGTTAATGTAATGTTACTGCACTACATTGATGCTAACTGTATAATGAATTAATAAAAGTTATTTAAGAGAAGACAGTCAGTTGAGTATCATATTTAGTCCACAAGATATATTCCCCTTTAAACTGGAACTGTCGCATGACAGATCATAAATTAATTGACATAATCTACTTGGCTAACTAATAATTATTAGACAGTAGTGCACAATGCAACTAAATGGTTAATTTGACACATGGGCAGATAGTCTGATTAACCCATTGAGCACGACTGCTCTCCCCTTGACAAGTAAAGTTATCTGGTGTTAGACAGAGTAAAATAATAAAGTATGATGCAACAAAATTTAGTGTCTGGTGAAACTAAGCTTGCTGATTAATAGTGATTATTGGTTATTACTTTTTAAAATAACATGGGTCCAAGGTCTTTGCCAGAAGAAGTTGCGCCAGATGGTGGTTTGCCTAATACCAGATGGTAGCGGGTGGTGCCCAGATACCTATTATGGCACCAGATAGTAGTCTACAGGGTTTTTTTTCAGGACTTTCTCTTGGGTCCATTTTTGCAGAGAAGATTGAGTTTAGCTGAACAGCTGGGGTGGCTGCACCCCCTCCCCCCTACCGCGGGAGGCTGACACCTATGCTCAATAAATGTAGTTGAGATGGAATGTGTTAAAGCAGGGGCACTAAGGGACACTATAAACTGGTTAAAGATGGCGAATGCATAGTTTTTCTTGTGTTGCAAGATGAATTCCAGCCATTTTTTCTTAATTGTCGGGCTTCCAACTGAAAACTAATTTCCACACGTCACAAAATTTTATAACTCAAACAACTTCATTTTTACTGTACTGAAACTTTGGTGAGAAGATTGAGTTTCAAAACTCAATTCAAGATTGAATTTTTGGGCCCGTTTAACGGCCCTAAAAAATCCCTGAAAAAACCCCTGGTCTACTGGGTACAGGTCTGGAGAAAGCCTGTCTCTGGTTAACATATGTATATTTGTCATACCCTGCATCACCTTGTACATACAAATGAAATATGAACTGGCTTTGTTATTGGTTAAATAAAGGCTGTTTATTACATCCACAGTTAGTAGTCCCTTTTACACTGTAGGTTAATGATAAGTCTCAAGGTCATTGTTCTGGCATATTTTGTATAAAGTAATGATTACATTTTCAATAAGTAAAATTTTCCTTTTACAGATTCTAAGATGATTGATCTTTGATGGCAATTGCATGCTGTGTTTGGAACAGTATTAATTAAATGTACATGAGGAAATCAATGGACTTGGTGAATGAACAATGGTATAGATAATATTGATTGTGAAATGGACAAAATGTTAAACAAAATATGGCTTCAGGGGAAACCAGGGTTTTTTCAGGGATTTTTTAGGGCCCTTTAAACGGCCCCAAAAACTCAATCTTGAATTGAGTTTTGAAACTCAATCTTCTCATCAAAGTTTCAGTGCAGTAAAAATGAAGTTGTTTGAGTTATAAAATGTTGTGACGTGTGGAAATTAGTTTTCAGTTGGAAGCCCGACAAGCCATCTTTAACCAGTTTATAGTGTCCCTGTTTTAACACATTCCGTCTCAATTACATTTATTGAGTACAGGTGTCAGCCCACCGGTAGGGGGGGGGGGATGCAGCCACCCCAACTGTTCAGCTAAACTCAATCTTCTCTGCAAAAACGGACCCAAGAGAAAATCCTGGAAAAAACCCTGGGAGAAACTCAATTCACTACAACACATTGCTGTGCTATCAGAACTACTATAATTTCAGTAAATATACAAGTTATTTTCTTAGAATGAGAATTTTTTTCTTAAACTGAGAATGTTAGGTGTAAATTTATCTTATTTTTTTATCTAGTCAAAAGTATCTAGTTTTAAGAAAGTTAATCTTAAAATAAGATATATTTTCTTAAAACAAGAAAATGATTCATCTAGAAATATTTTCTTAATTAGAATTTTTTCTCGCTATTCTCCCTAGTAAAAATTTTCTTGTTTTGAGAAATATTTTCTTAAAACAAGTTATATTTTCTTAATTTAAGATTTAATTTCTTATTATTTAAGAAAAGTTTTCTTAATTTAAGAAAAATTTTCTAGTTCTAAAAAAATTTCTTATTTTAAGAAAAAGTGCACTAGAAAAATGTTTCATTATTTTCTTGAAATGAGATATATTTTTCTTAAAACAAGAAAATATGTTTTCTTATTTTAAGAAATATTTTAAGAAATATTTTCTCAGTTAGAAAATATTTCTCGCTATTCTCCCTAGTAAAAAAATTCTTGTTTTAAGAAAATATTTCTTGAAACAAGTTTTTTTTTTCTTGAAATAAGAAAACGATTTTTTGCTGTGTGGAGCGTTGATTGATGGTCGATTCGTTCGAGAAACTGCATTGATCGATTCGAGAAAGTGTTGATCGATTCGAGAAAGTGTTGATTCATACGAATGTGTATGGTTCGACGCTGGTGAAAGTTGCAAATATCCACTCTATGCCACGGATGCTTGATCGATTTGACTAAAACCCGCTCGATTCCGTAAAGTATTGATCGATTCGAATGGTCGAACTCACCCGTCGAAGTATAAGTTAGTCCGTTCGTTCGTTTCCGCAAAGTGTTGATCGATTTACAATAGGGCCATTTATACGGGACAAATAAGTCGCGACTTACATAAGACGCGTCTTACATAAGCGGAGTTAATTATCATATAAATGATTCTCTACGGCTCTAGTCTTATTTACTTGCTATAGCTATAATGTTGTTTTGGTTGCTTTTGTTTTGATATGCAAGGCTAATAATTTTACGTTGTTTCAAGTTTCAGGCATGTGTAGTTAGACTTTTTATGCAAAATGTCTTATTTAAGTCGCGTCCGGCCAAGACGCGTCTTACATAAGAATTTTGTACTTTTTATACGACAAACTCGCGTCTTATTTAAGTTGCGTCTTATGTAAGTCGCGACTTATTTTGTCTCGTATAAATGGCCCTAATATTTATATTCGATATCAAACTATTGAATTTTGACAGTATTAAAAAAGGCCATACAAAACGGACTGGTGTTCTTTCTTTGTGTCTTTGGCTTTTCGCTCCGCAAAGCCGACATCACGCATAGCTTGCACTTCGAGAGATTCTGTAAAAGTATATTATAAGCTTTCTAATGTTGTCGCAATGATATACAATAACAAACGGCTTATATACTTTCGTGAATTTCACACCTTGATGTTTGCGGACGCCAGCAAAGTTCACACTTTGTTTGGCAGAGACAGAGGCCCGTCAAAACACATACTGACAGACTACAGGGTTGACTTTAATTCCTATTCCACCTTTCTGACACTCAACAACACGTGACACTGCACGTGTTAAAAATAGGCCTAACAGCGACTCGGACAAACATTGCGAACAAATTGTATATATAGTATTACACGTGCGTTTAAGTGGTGAACAAAATCTGATTTTTTCGCGTTTTTACCGAGAATATTAAAGAAATTCGACGAAATAATTGAGAAATATGTCCTCTGAAGAATCACGATCGAAATCTATTAACAAGATGAGCGTTATTGAGCTCAAGGAATATCTTGCAAATCGTGGTTAAAGTGTGAGTGGATACTTAATGCCATATAATAAAAGGGTTTATAATATAGCATTACCGAGAATATTAAAGAAATTCGACGAAATAATTGAGAAAACTGACTTCTGTGTATATAATTTATAACGTGTATAAAATTCAGTCAGAGTAATATTGAAAAAAGATCAGTTTAAAGTCGGCGGCGTGCAGCCGTGCTTGGCTGTTGTTTCAGTGACTGTATCATGGTTAAAAGATGTGCTTGGGGTACATGTAACACTGATTCACGATATCCAGAAAGGTTAATAAAAGACGGAATACCTGTTACTTTCCATCCTTTTCCTTCGGAAAGAAAATTCAAAAAACGAAGAGAATCGTGGATCCATGCTTGTTGCCGTGCTGATGGCTTTGTTTGCACAAAGGATAGCTACGTATGTAGTTTACATTTTGTTGGAAAGAAAGGGCCAACAGAAAAATATCCTGATCCCATTCCAGCGACAGCAAGTAGAGATAAGGTTTGTTATTTCTTTCTACTTGGCCATGTAAATCCAGGATAATGTGTGATGGTATGAATATTTCATTAGCTGATTACATTTTGCATATATACATTTTATATTAGTTGCGATTTTTTGCTTCTCACATATCAGATCATGCGGCTTGGCAGAAAGAGAAAAGCACCAACTGAACGATTTGCCCATGGAAAAAGATTTAGGACAGCAACCGATAGATCAGCAGCCGAATCGATGTTGCTACTTTCATCTGCGAAGTCTGATGCTGTCGATGCCTTATTATCTTTGTGTGATGCTAGACAAGACAGTGATATTTGCAAGAATTCAAATGCCTCGTCATCTTTGTGTGATGCTAGACTACAAGACCCTTCTTGTGAGGAATCATTAACAGATGAAGGACAAGACAGAGAGATAAAAGGACCTACGAACTGTGCAACTCAAGTAAGCACTTTAATATTGTACTGGTTTAATTTATAATTTCAGGTTTAGGAAATATAAAATTTTGTTTATATGATCACAACCTTAAAAGGCTTCATCCCAGCAATGTATTTTGTTCATATAAACATGCTATCCCACCTAAGGCAAGTTTTCCGGCTGAGGCAGGATGAAAACGTCCTGTCCCACCTCGGTGGGATCATATAAACAAGCCCTTAGTCCGTCCATGGATATAAACACTCTCACCCACTCCCCAAGGGTGATTTTAAAGCTGTTTCTGTGGGTTGTTTCAGCATTGTTTGATCTCTGCGATATTTCAAGGGAGAAATTTACAAATTTCTGAGAAAAAAGATCTCTTAATTTGGGGTTAAATATTTTCTTGTCTAATCTGTATGAGGGAGTGAATATGGCCTATTTACCATCCATGACATTTTATACCTTCTTTCAAATTTCTGCTCTATATAGACAAATGTCACATTGGATCATCTAACAGTGTACTCTGATAGCCAGATGATATCCCCCAAAAAAATGTCAAAACATTTATTCATGCAAAATGTAGAAAATCCGAAGAACTCAATGCATTACACTGGTAAGTACAATTTGTATGTACTTTCGTATATAAGAAATAACCAAGGGAAATACATTGGTCTGTTTCTATTTGCCTTTTTTTATAATTTAAGGTTTAGAAGTAAGTGTACTCCATGCACTTCATAATCTGATAAAAGACAAATCTGCAAGAATGCATATGTGGAAAGGTGAAAAAAAAAAAAACAAGAAATTTGTTGGTGAACATTACCTTAAGGTTAGTGTGCAAATAGCTAGTACTCGACAAACTATACAGACGAAGCACACTATGGTATTTTTGTTGTATGAATATAGTCCAGAAGGATGTAAATACAGAAATAAAAAAATAGCAAGATTTTTTTCTAATATTACTGTATATTACCCTTCCTATTTTTAGCAAAAATACAATCTTTCTGCACTATCATCATGGGAGCAACTGGTTCTAACACTGGTTAGATTACGCCGCAACTTATCAATTACTGTTCTTGCAAATGTTTTTGGGATTTCTGTTGCATCTACTAGTAGAATCATCATGAGCTGGATTGTATTTTTGGAGAAAGAACTTAACTTTTTACTTCATTTCCCAACATTGTCAGAGTTGAGTGGGCTCAAGTATCCTAAAGCATACAGGGAAATCTCTAACCTAAGAGGCATAATCGATTGCACAGAATTTTACATTGAAACACCATATCGATTGCCAAGTCAGAGGAGCACATACAGCAACTATAAATCAAGAAACACGTTTAAATTGTTGATATCAATCTCTCCTATTGCACACATCAATTTTGTGTCCAACCTATTCACGGGTAGTATCAGTGACAAGGAGATTGTAAGGAAAAGTGGATTTTTGGATAAATTGGAGCCTGGGGATGTAATTATGGCAGACAAGGGATTCAATGTGCAAGATCTGTTTGCTCTTAAACAGACAAAATTAATTGCTCCGCCAATAATGAGAAAGGGTGTAGCCTCATCGGCAGCTTCAACTATGACAAGAAGAATTGCTGCATCCCGCATTCATGTTGAGCGAGTAATCAGAAAATTGAAATGTTTTGGTATTTTAAGAGGTGTTATACCATTGACATTGAAATCTTATGTAAGTTCTATTGTCAAAGTCTGTTCAGCTATTGTTAACCTAGAAAGAAGTATTATTAACGAAAAAGAAGATGATCTATGACATTTAGAATAATATTTTCTCAAAACAATGATTATATCATTAGTCCTCATTTAACCAATTAAGCACCAGCATTCTCTTGACAAGCTTTTTTGTCTGATGTTAGAGAGAGCAAAATAATAAAGTAAGGTGAATCAGGGCGCAAAGTAACTCAACGGGTTAATAGATTATAATGAGATTTAATATAAATATTTACAGTGAGACTTGTTATATTAATAATCACTATATATATACATAATTTTAGGATAGGTAATTCTACCATTCCAATTGTTTTTCATTTCACTTTATTTAAATTGCATTTTATGTCTCTTCATTGTTAAAAGCGTTTGCAAATTGTGTCTTAGAGTAGTGCGTTTTTCCTCAGCTTCTTGTGGCTCAAACCAATTGTGTACAATGCAACAATAATTATCAGGTTCAGATTCATAATCTTCCAGTTCCTAAAAAGTGTGAAAAGAAAGTATTTCAATTAATACAAAGTAACTTATTGAATATATCATTATATATATCAACCATGGGCCGGTTGTTCAAAGGTGGATTAGTGCTAACCCTGTGTTAAAATTTAACCAGCTGTTTTAGTTTGTGTATTTATACACGTCTGTTTATTTCAAAACTTCAGAGAAGTAAACTCTTATCGATCCAGACAAGATCTCTGAAGAAACACTTCCAAATTTATAGACAAGCTGTGAGCAAGTTTGCTTTGAATTTTAAGTTAACATAGGGTTAAACTAACCCAGCTCTGAACAACTGGCCCCATTACTATACCTGCAGAAAATACTTTAAAAATAATGAGATGTAAATTCCACAGTTGTTACTTGTAAGTGGCTGCTGTGGTACCTGAAAATCATTAATTTCATTGTCTGTCATTAGGCAGGGTGGAATAATAATGTAGGGTGCATCATACAAACTTACACCATTGCTTTAAAAAATTCATGGATTAAACAGACTTCAGTACGTATTGCTTATTACTTGTTATAAGTCAACAATTAATGTCAGACCAATACCTTCAACACTTTGCAAGAAAGCTTCAAATGCGTTTGTTGTAAATTGAACTTGGTGGAGAGATGTTCCCAGTAGCTATAATTAAAAGGAAAAAATACAATGCATTGAGAAAGCTTCAAACATGACTATAGTAAAGTTACACCAATTTAGCTTAATTAAAGCACAAACCTTAAAATGTAACTAGTTTCATGCTTTCTTAAATTAACGTCCCATGTTAAGGAATCCATGATAATAATATGCCATGGCGTGATCACTGCTAATAACCAATGTTTGCTATAAAAATTTAAATAGATACATTTGAGCCATAGGCCCCTCCTGGAATTCTCCCTGCCTCCCCCCCCCCTTTGACCAGAAATTCTGACTACATCACTGATTATATACCTTCTGTTAATGGGAATAAATATGTAATCATCATCCATGAGTGTTGGTGGAACAAACATCTCTGCTTTTCCATTTCTTTCAGTTCTAGGAAATCAAAAACAAATTTCTGTCCCAGGTACTTAACCCTGATTCTCCACTAAGTTACCAATACATATTTTACATTAGTATTGTATCATCTGATAAAAATTTACTAACTGTGACAATTGCTTCCGTCCTTCTTGTTCACCACAAAGCACAGTATAGAAAAATGTGCTCACGATTGTAAAATGGCAATTTAAATCCCTGAAAAAAAATTGCTAGCTTAGCCCATTGAGTGGCAGCACCCCTCCCCCCCCTGACAAGTAAAATCATCTGGCATTAGACAGAGTAAAATAATAAAGTGGGGTGCATTGCCACTTGATTAAAGGGTTAATTCAACGTTTATTCAGTTAAATTTTGTTCTTTTCAGGCTGAGTATGGGGGCCTAATGGAAGCTGCAGTCCCCCAGTTGGTAAAAAAATGGGTAAAAATAAAATGAGAAATTAACAGTCATTTATAAGTGAATTAACCCTTTAAGTGGCAATGAACCTTGATGCACCCTACTCTATTGTTTACTCTCAGATGATTTTACTCGTCAAGGAGAGAGTTAATGGATCGAGTTAATTACACATTTGTTAGCCCACTCTAAATGTTGTTCTGTCAGTCATGAATACATAATTATTATGTGTCACTTACTCCATCAAAGCTGATACAATGTTGTCATTCAAGAGTCCTTGAGGTCTAAGTGTGTTAATGCAAGATTGGTAAATATCAACACCATTGTATTTAATTGACAATTGCTGTCTGGCAGTGGACTTGGAAGTGTTTCTGTATGCATCTTCACTGACAGCAATAATATTAGGTTGAGGGGTCATGCCATCAATATTGTGTTGAGGGGTGTCATTTGGCTGAGGAGCAACATTATCATTGGGCTGAGGAGAATAATTGTCATCGCGTAGAAGGGGATCACTGCGATTAAGTAGAGGGGCATCATTTTCATTAGGTTGAGGGGAATCATTGTCATTATGTTGAAGGGTATATTCATAATTGCATATATCAACATCCATAGATTCTTAAAATGAAATATTTAATATAAATTTTAGGGGTGCACTGCATTGGACTGATCACAGGTGATTAACAAGGAACAAGTTTTCAACAGTTTGGTATATAGTGTAAACTAAATTTCTGATATTGGGATGCTACAAATTCCAGACCCTGATTATGTAGACAAAATGAAAATAAAATGTAAAATTTACCTGCTTTTGGGTGATCTGTTTGCATTGTTTGAACCATAAATGGTAAGACATGCTTCATCCAAAACTGTTCAAGCTTTTGAAGAGCACTTTTCATATATTTGGCATTGTATGGCACATTGATGGAAAGAATGCCTTTTTCTGTCCATACTACAAAGTCACAACTTTTTAATTCAGTAACAAACATTTGCAATTGAATTTGCAAATAATAGCGGCTAGATGTCTTCAGATACAACTTATCTCCAACTTGTTCCCCACCTATTTCAGGTGTTAGAAATGCTTCTTTCACTGGAATTGTTCGATGCTTCCAAGGACACTTGTACTCAACAACAACATCTGGACAGTTTTCTGCACAACTACAGGAGCGAATGTTATCTGTACTGGCAGCTACATAAGGTTTTTTCTTAGAAATTAACAATCCTTTGGATACAAGGGATAACTTGCAATGTTTTTTGCATTCCACCTTGTAATAGCTCTGGCGTGCACTATTTTCATGTTTCAAACCCCAATCTCTGGGATTTGTTGCAGTTTCTGAAACAGTTTTTTTCACTATGGGTTTTTGACAGGTGATTGTTTTCACTAATGAGGTAACGTTTCTCTGCTTGCCTTTATCCAGGCTGTTCTGCATACTCAAAACTCTATGTGCGATTGAGCCAGTTATGAAACCTTCTTTCTGCTTGTACCATTCATCACACTTCCATTGCTCAATGGTCAATTCATTTACATGGTCAACTTCTTCCTGGCTATGAGACAAATTAGTAAGAACATCGTTGATTGCAGCTTCAGCATGACATTCAGGACCCAATTGTTCACAGAGCATATTGACCTTTTCCTTCAGGATTCCATTTGCAGAAGTTAATTTATTTCCACTTTCATTCAAATTTATTACATCATCATTTTCAATATCATTTTTAATAATAGGGCAATTAGGATTACCATATAACTTGGCCAGTAATGGCAAAATTGCTGGGTTGCAACCACTTGTTTCCAAAGAATATGTGAACTGCCTTAAAGATTCATTTGTCGGGGGAACCTGGTCATCTTTATGCCTTAAATCCATGACTATGTGTTCATTATAAACATGTTCGCTCTTGGGTTTTTTTAAAGGTAAATCACAATGGGCAATTAGTAGATCTTTCACATCACAAGGTCTGCTGTCAACGGTTGGTTTCTTGGTCCATATACATGGCATATTAGTCGGGCTGTCCTCGTCATGGGTATTCAGTAAATCCTCTAGGGAATACATGGCTGCAGCAATATGCTTGCAGCCACCATCGCGACCCCCTTTACAACGACATCTAGCTTTGACAACACTCCCTCGGTTGGCCCCTTTACCTTCAAGTATAAACCAGCAGTCATAGTACGATTTCCCTTCGTCCGTCTTGTCTTTCATAGCTGGCTTGACTTTACCCATATACAGATGAAGTCTTTCGTTTGACAAAGTCTCAGTTAGCAGAGATTCAACATATCCGTCCTGGAAAAGGCGATATTCATCTAATGACTTGTATGCTGCCAAACCTTGTTTATCGTATTCGGTTGAATGGTGAATAAGGTAATTAAAGATATCATACAACCCAAATGGCGGAGAATCAGAGAAGTTATTTACAAGCTTGTGTTGCGAAGTAAACGGATTTCTAATCTCCATATCATCAATATAAAACTTTTCATTCTCCAAAGTATTCTTTTCTTCAAAATTTGGATTTAGAGGAAGCATCATTTTATTTACAGCAGTTGCTATCTCTACTAATGCAGGTTTTAAGTATCCACTCACACTTACACCACGATTTGCAAGATATTCCTTGAGCTCAGTAACGCTCATCTTGTTAATAGATTTCGATCGTGATTCTTCAGAGGACATATTTCTCAATTATTTCGTCGAATTTCTTTAATATTCTCGGTAAAAACGCGAAAAAAATCAGATTTTGTTCACCACTTAAACGCACGTGTAATACTATATATACTATTTGTTCGCAATGTTTGTCCGAGTCGCTGTTATTTTTAACACGTGCAGTGTCACGTGTTGTTGAGTGTCAGAAAGGTGGAGTCAATTTTTGTTCCGCTTCTCCTTTAGCCTGCTCGCAGGCCGTTGTCAGGCAGAGGCTGAGAGGAACGGCCTGCGACCTTTATTAGTAACAAGACGCTCGGAATAGCGTTAACTCGCTGGGGCTAATGGGTAGACTTGGTTCAAGTCCGTCTCTCAGCGAAAGCTAATGGGCTATAGTGATACGCTTGTTAGATGGTACTACAATCATATGGCCATTCGAAGAGTTAATTTTTTTGTAACCTGTCCCCTGTTGCAAAATTGCGGTGTCCGTGCCAAGTTTGGCACCGCAGGAGTTTGTTTCGAACCAAATGCTTCCACTTTCTATAAAAATTCCTTGCACGTTCTCTGAATTTCCTTTTTGCGGTCAAATTTACTTAATAATCGCTGACTGAGAGTGATTGAGTGAGACCGACTATCTCTGGTTTTATGCATCCAAGTGACCCAACAAGGAGAAAATGCAATCGTTCGAATCGGCGTACGAAATTGTACTTACGTATGCCAAATTCATTACTAAACAGCAGTATTCTGGCGATATATGGCCTTTGAAAGTCAAGCGAAATTGTATTGTTGACAAATCGCTCTCAAAATTTATATTATTCAGCTATTTAAAAATGCAGTACGTTTGCTCCGTGATCAGCCTAGACCTAGGCCTTCTAGTCTTATTTATATTTTTTCATATTCAGCGCTTTTTCACATGAAAAGACTGGGACTAGGTGATTTGGGGGCGGGGCGGAGGAACCAAGCCTAGAAGGCCTAGTTGATTTCCCAACAACAAGTCAACAAGGCCAAAACTGCCCTGAAACTGCCCTGGTTGCGAAATGCCCATTTATTGCGTTCTCGAACAGAATTATTTACAACTTAACGGCGAATTTAAACCGATACAGGTAAAATAAACTCATTTATAGTATAAACTTACTATTTTTATTTGTATACACGTCTAGAAAATCGGGTTTTTTATCATAAAGTTCGAAGCAACGCTATTATTTAATATGTTGACAAGGTGTAGCGACAGCACAAAATGAGTCAAAATATATACCAAAAGTAGAATCTTTCATGAAATTTTGTCGTATACACAACTACATTAATATATATTTTCTCAATTTTGGCAAGAAGCAGTCTTGTGTTTGTAAAATATACAAAATAAAACGGATACATATATTTAATATTAGCCCGTATAGTACTGTATATAAAAACGTACATTGTTTACAAATGGTATATCTGTAATATTTAAACAATAATTTCAAAATCCTCATTCCCAATTCGCAAACATAGTTATTCAAAGCAAAACAGTAGATTGTCTTGCGAATAAAAGAATTATTTATATTTTGTGCCGTTTCGCTACACCTTGTCAACATATATAAATAGTGTTGCTTCAAACATTATGATAAAAAAAAACGATTTTCTAGACGTGTATACAAATAAAAATAGTAAGTTTATACTATAAATGAGTTTATTTTACCTGTATCGGTTTAAATTCGCTGTTAAGTTGCAAATAATTCTGTTTGAGAACGCAACAATTGGGCATTTCGCAATCAGGGCAGTTTCAGGGCAGTTTTGGCCTTGTTGTTGGGAAATCCACTAGGCCTTCTATATTTTCGCTTGCGTCAGGCTTGTGTCCTTCCTCCGCCCCGCCCCCAAATTACCTAGTCCCAGTCTTTTCATGTGAAAAAGCGCTGAATATTAAAAAAATATAAATAAAAATAGAAGGCCTAGGTCTAGGCTGCTCCGTGATAACTTTCGTATCGTTGGTTTTCTCTTTTTCGGCCGTATACGAATGGATTCGTCTCACTTTTATCTTCATTTAGTAGTATTTTGATCCGATAATAGTTTATTTTGAAGGTTTTAAAGCGAAATTTTAACCAAGCGTACGGAACAACTGTCCGCCGACACGAGGACTGTAGCGTACGATAAAATCTAAAGCTTTAATAACTTGTAGCACAGCTTTTATAGGCGGAATCGAATGAAAATTTTATTTGTAAAGCACCGCATTTAACCAAGTATTGTGTCTGGTTTTTACTCAGATCTTATAAAAGCATATTTAGCACTTTAGCAGTCTGCAGTCTTTATAATCCTTCCATGGGAAAACATACGTTAACGGTTTTGAAAAACGTTCTTAAAAATCGTTCGTTATTTTTGAATATTTGAATATTTTGAATATTTGAATATTTTTTTTTATTTGCCCATATAAAGCTAAATATATTTACAATCTATATTTTTACAAACATTAGGGGCTAGGAACCTTTATGAAACCCTATCAGGCTTTTATTCAAAGGCCCCTAGTTTAACAATATTAATTATTATATAAAAATAGTTAAAGCTTGTTCAATCTTGTCAAAGACAAAGTAAGAGTATTTACAAATATAGTGATTTGAATATAAATATACACAAGAGTTTATTATGTGAGATTACAAATGAAAGCCGTTAGGTATATTCCAAGAAAAGGCTTTTCAACTTTTTCTTAAAAGTAGAATAAAACATAGTTTTGCTAGTTCCTTTATCAAGAGAGTTCCATATTTTAACTCCCTTGTTAACAATAGTATGTTTTGCATAATTAGTTCTACTATAATTGACATGCAATTTGTTAGAATTCCGAGTATTGTAAAATGATGCACTTCATTGTTTTGTATGAAGTAGTCATTAACAAATTCAGGTAGATTTTGTAAATGTTTAAAACGGTACACAAATAAACAACTTAAATAGTCATTAATCTTAAAGATATTCAAGATTTTCTATTTTTGAAACAATGGTTCAGTGTGTTCAAGATAAGATTTAAAGTTCATCAATCTGATAATTTTTTTCTGTAAATTCAGTATTTTTAGCAGCCTTGTTGGGTACGTGTTACCCCATATTAAATTCCCATAAGTAAGATATGGATAAACTAATGCATAATAAAGTACATTTAATGTATTTTTGTTTGTATAATGTCGTATTTTTGCAATCAACGCCGATGCTTTAATAATATTTTTGACAACTGAGTTTATATGGTTTTTCCATGTTAGTTCTTGATCTATTATTACACCTAGAAATTTGACAGCAGTAGCCTGATGTATAATGTTATTGTTAAGTTGAATATTAGTATCAGTGTCACATTTTTTATTTTTTGATTTAAAAATGACGGACTTAGTTTTTTTAGTATTTATTGATAATTTATTGGCGTTTAGCCATTTAGTCACTTCATTCATTTCTTTTTGCATAACATGCATTAAAGATTTGAGGCATTTGTCAGAGTAAAACGCATTTGTGTCATCGGCATACATAACAAAAGAAATTATTTCACTACAGTTCTCAATGTCGTTAATATATAACAGAAAAAGTAGAGGCCCAAGAATCGAGCCTTGCGGAACTCCTGAAGATATTGTCATCTTACTTGACTTATGATCACGAAACTTAAGAATTTGCGTTCTTTCATGTAAGTAGTTTTCAAACCATTTTAAACAATTTCCTCTTATACCATAATGTTCTAGTTTTTTTAGAAGAATTTTATGGTTAACTGTGTCAAAAGCCTTAGATAGATCAAGGAAAATACCGATTGTGTATTTTCCTTCATCTATGGCCTTTGAGATTTTGTCAGTCAATTCAATAATAGCATGTTCAGTGGAGCGATTTTTCCTGAAACCATACTGGTGTTTAGATAAAATGTTTTGTTTTTCAATATATGAAATCAGACTTTTGTACATTACTTTTTCAAGCAATTTCGAAAAACATGTGAGAACTGAAATTGGCCTATAATTTTCAAATAGACATTTTTCATTTGCTTTAAAAATAGGAGTAACAAGAGCTTTTTTTAGTGTATTCGATATTAATCCAGTTTCAAAAGTTAAATTGAAAATATGTGCAAGAGGTTTGCAAATCTCTTGTTTAATTGCTTTTACCATTTTGGCACTGATATTATCATGACCTGCACTTTTAGTTACATTTAAGTTATCAATCTCAGTCAAGATTTCATATTCTGTAACAGGTTCAGTAAACATACTTTCTCGATAGTTACCTTTGAGATAATTTTCAAATGGTATTGTGTCATTTTGTTGAATACCTTTGGCTAAATTCGGTCCAACGTTTACAAAATATTCGTTGAATTTGTTTGCAATCTCAATTGGGTCAGAATAATTAATATTTGAGTTCTTTTCTCTAAACGTATCAGGAAGCGCTTCCTTCTTTTTATTGTTTTGATTTAATATTCGATTAATGGTCTGCCATGTCATTTTGCCATTGTTTTTGTATTTAATAAACTGACTCTCAAAATAATCTTTTTTAGTTATTTTAATTAAATGTTTTAATTTATTTTTGTATTTTTTATACGTGGTTTCGCTCTTAACACTTGGGTTTTTAAGATACTTTTTATAAAGTTTGTTTTTAATTTCTATAGATTTAGAAATACCTTGAGTCATCCAGGGACTTTTGTCATAGTCAACAGTTCGTTTTTGCCTGTTTACCAAAGGAAAGCTCTTTTCAAACGCTTGTATTAGGTCATTATGAAATATGTTGTATGCTTTGCAAGGGTCATTGTTTTCAATAATGTTATCCCATGACATCAGTTTCATGGTATTTGAAAATGATAGAAGATTGTTATTGTTTACTATTCTTCGAAGTTGCGAAGTTTTGCCTTCAGAATTATATATTTTCCTAGCTAAAGATGTAATATGAAAAATGGGAAGATGATCTGAAATATCAGTAAAAATTAATCCATTCTTACTGCTTTCAATTTGTTCAATGTCATTGGTGAAAATATTGTCAATTAATGTTGTGGTGTGTTCCGTTATCCTCGTAGGCCTAGTTATAAGAGGGAGAAATGATGATGTTCATGTGTGTATCAG